ACAGGAAGAGGTAACTGAGGAACAGGAGAGAGGAACCTGTCTTCAGAGGTCTCTGGGAAAGGTATGGATGCACCTTCTCAGCTATCTGTGTGTCTGTAGGATCAAGGTGGCCCCTTTGTATTCTCTTTACATCTAAGTGATTGCATCTTCTGTAATGCTCCATGTTCCATATAATAAAACTCTTCACCCTGAATATAGAGCTTCCTCGGTATTGGGAAAGAGGATGTCACAGCACCTTGTCAATTCATAGATGTCACCCAAACAGAAAAGCTGTCATAGGCTCTAAACAATAGCCCAGCAGATTCTATAGGGTTTATGGCTCAGGAAAAAAAATACTTTAGCATTATCGCTCAATTTATTTGAAATAAGTGCTCAAACAAAAAGAACAGATGAAATTTTTAATAAAATAAATGCATCCTTTTGGACCCTTGATTCTATTGTTTTTTTTTCCTTGAGACCATATTATAAAAAAATCTATTTGCTGCCATTCCAATTGTATAGATAAGCAAATTAAATGCCTAAGGAATTAAAGTTGATACCTCACTTAAGGAAAAATTAGAATTTATTGTGGAACCCTGCTCATATTTGCTGTTAATACCGTCAGAGTCATAAATAAGTCTCACAGGTCAGATCCTGTATTGGGCACTTTTTATACATGACTTTTTGAAAGTGCTTAATAACTCTGCAAGATGTCTCCTTATTGGTCTTTGTCTTTTATTTTGGAATATTTTTCAGCCTTATTTCAAATGGAATAGTGTAATGTTATATATTCCTTTTCCTCATCTTTCAATTTGAGACAAGCAAAGCTCAGAAAAGCTGGATGGATTGCCAAAGACTGCAGTCTTGATAAGTGTTAGAGAGGGATCTGATTCCAGGTCTGTCTACCTCCCAGGCTCTACTCTTGGACATGCCATAAATTTAGGTACTCAGAGCATGAAAATTTGCCTTCATGTTGAAGACAGTTTCTTAGACATCTTTGTATTCCCCTCAGTGACTTGCCACACTTTTCATGGCAAGGCACTCAATAAATATTTGTTGGGTGAAGAATTCTGGGCTCAGACTCCAATCCTACTATGGACTTAATGACTCAGTGTCCTGTAGCTTGGAGCTGCAGGTGGTTACTCAGCTGGGTGACTTTAGGGAACATTTGGAATCAATTATGGGTACGCAGGAACCTATTAAAATGTTCTCTTTTGTGTATGTTGGGGTTGAAGGAGAGGAAAGGAAGTTGAAGTGGAGGGAAAGATTCAGATGGTTTCAGGGTTAGGGCTGGATCTTAAAGAGTGCACACCAAAATAGGACAGAATTTGGCTTATTCAACTACTCAGTTCTAATGACCTGACCTAACTGGTTCTTGACCTCAGACTACCGCTAAGTAGCCACATTTCCTTCAATTGGCAGACCCTTGACTGGCTACATATGTGAAGGACCCCACCATGGAACAGTCCTCTCCTTGCCTCCATTGGTCTGCTTCAGCTGTAGGAAACAAGCAACTTCAGAAGGTCTACTGTCAGATGTCCAAGAGCCCTCTGAGGCCAGAAGAGACCCTTAACATCTGAAGTCTGTGTGCCCTGTATTGTGCTCAATAAAGGCATCCTTGCAATTCATTCTGGAGTCTGACTTATTTTGGAAGAATGTGGGGACTTGGAGGGATAACTCTAGTTGATTTTGTTTTCTTTACTACTTGCTAGAAGTACAAGTTAGTCACAACTCTCAAAAAAGCCACTTTGGCTCTTCCAGATAGGCCTGAAAAAAAGAGAGACTTATAAGAAGCAGACCCAGACCCCAAGGGATGCCTACCAACATTTTAGGAGAAGGTGATTAAATTACAGCTCAGAGACTGGGGCAGGACAGCCCTCAAGGAAAACAGACATTCCCCACTTTGTGGCTTTCTTTCTCTTGTGCACGAAGCAACACTGCCACCTAGTGCCCTGTGCTAGAAGTATTTCCATACAGCCCCATATCTGGGGGTAGAGGGTTCTTGTGTAATTACAGTTGTTGGCTAAATTTCTTTGAGGTCCTTGCTGAGGAGAAAATACCCCAAGCGTGGTAGGTAGAAGACTTGGAAAGTGGATTTGAATTAAGTAGGTAGAACCTAGGGTTTGAGAACTGTTGGCAGAGTGGGAACCAAGTCTTGCAGCACCTTGGCCCACCCTCAGAGGAGCAGCAAAATTGTAGCAAACTGATTTGTGTGTAGCTCCCAGCACCTTGACCTTAATGTGACCACGTATAACTGAAGTCCAACCATCCTGAGAACAGATACTGACCAGTTCACCTGCCCTTGCCAGGCGAAGAGAGGCAAACCGGACTGTGAGTAAATTAGTGATAGGTAGAGCCCCTTATTAATGAGAACTTGCTTTGGCACCTGGTACAGGTGGTGTATCAGCAACAAAGACAATGGTAGACAGGGATGCCTAAATTCTCAGCAGGCCACATGCTGAGCCCAAAGAATGGACACCTTGTTATCAACTCTTACCTCCCACAGACTTCACCCTAAATCTTTACTGGCTACTTCCTTCTGTGCACATGTCTGAAGAAAGGTAAGGATGGAAAGTGGGGAAGGTGGACTGGGGTCTACTGTACGCACCACCTTTCTGAAGTAGACCTAAAAGGAAAGTCCCAGAACACCATAGGAACCACTTTGATTTAGGGAAAAAGAAACCTTAGAAGACAGACAGCCTGCAAAAGATTTCCTGCTCTATTTTACATGCTTAGGGAGGTTAAGAGACTTCAGATGGGCACTTAGAAGACTCTGAGTGTGTTCTGAGGCAGTGTGGACGCAGCTGGTGGTGATGGACAGGCAAGGCAGGGGGCACATGGATATGGGGGTAGGCATGCCAGAGGTAAGACAAAGAATGCTGAAACTTGCATCAAATCATGGCACCACTCTTCCTTACAGTGTGTGACACAGAAGGACAAGAGAGGGACAAGATAGGTGGCCACGTTTCTGAATCTGTTTCCCAGGTTTGGATTTAATAACCCCAAGCAATAGTTCCTCAGAATAGCCCACATGTATTCCTGTTAGATCCTTCTCTACCTCTTCACAGCAGCGAAACTCATCCCAGGTCCCTAAGTTGCTACTGCAAGAAGAAGCATAGAGTCACTGGTCTCAATCTAGACTGCAAGCACACAGTCTCCCTGGCAGATGGGTACTAGGAAGCCAGACTAGGCAGCAAGAAGATGTCATCTGGGGAAAACTGTGAAGCTGCCAACTCCGATCAGATAATCATCTCATTATTTCTTCCAATTGGCCCAGAATAAGGGTGTCCTTCTATTCTTTCTCTGCCCCCACCTAGCTTACACTCCAGCCCCTTCTCTCTGTATTGCTCCCAACCCAAAACCAAAATAAAGCAAAGCCACATGACTAGAGAGTGCTCAGTGTCTGGGAATCCCAGCTTCCAAAGGAGAAATCACAGCCAAAGTCGGGGAGACAGAGTGTCCGGCGGGGCTGTTCCAGCAACACCCCATTGGAAGAGGTTCTGTCCCTCCAGATTTCTTTCCCTTCTCTGAAATTTCTTTCCAGGTACTCAGGAACTTGAAGAGTTTTAGGGGGCCTTTTTGTTGTTGTTTTTTCATTTGAAGAGCTGTCAAATGATTCAGGAACTCTGGGGTTCTTTTCCCCAGCCTGTCTCTGACGTGCCTTTCACTGCCTCAGTTTCTCCATCAATGAAATGAGGCTAGCAAGCATGAAAGGGTATTGTGAGTAATCCAAATTAGTGATGTTATTTTCTGGTATTTTTTAAATTATTTTTTAGTTGGTATACAAATTAATGGATTTCATTGTGACTTTTCATCCATATATATCATTATGCTTTATTCTTATTTGTCCCCTGCCTTCTGCTCCTCCTTTCCTGCCCCGTGTTTTCCTCCTTCTTCCCCGGTGTCTCTCCTTCCGTTTTCATGTCACATGCATTCCATCTCTTGCTCTCCCATTACTATACACGTCTATTTCCCTCTCACATTCCACTTCATGTCGGATGGATGGATGGATGGATGGATGGATGGATGGATGGATGGAAAGATGATAGATAGAAGATAGATGATAGATAGATAGATAGATAGATAGATAGATAGATAGATAGATAATAGATTCAGTTACTATGTGCCTTGCTTTATATTAGGCTCTGTCATGGGGGAAGGGTCTAAAAAGATAAGACATTAAATGATAAAATATACAGTCAAACCCTTTAACACTTTGCCTGAAATTCAACCTCTCCAGTAAGGAAAAGAAAGGAAAGAAGCGACTCCAGAGCCTGCTCTTTACTTTGCCCTTTGGATTTCTCTCCATTAATCAAAAAATATAGATAATAACCTTGAATGACTGTCTCTGATTAACATCATAGAGTTATACAAGTTATACAAGCTTTCATATTTAGTTTTATCTTAACAATAGCCAGGGCTAGAAGCCAGGACCCTGGCCTGTGAGTACCCACCTTTTCCAGCAGACCTTTGGGATGAAGTGAAAGGAATCAAAAGTATGGATCAAACGCTACCTTTCTGCCTAGTTTCAGGGTGGCTGAGTAGCTGGCAGCCTTGTTCCCTCACTGTTTGGACCGATCAGGGTATGACTCACTGCTATGGTCCTGGGCTTGTCATCTGCCTTCAGAGGTGCCTGGGTATCCCATACTGGACTGTGAGAAGCAGAGGGTGACACCTCCTCCTCCTTGACAAAGAACCCAAGTCGTTTCCCTTTAAAGAGGGAAAAGGGCTGAGCTGGAGGCTCCTAAGTGCAAGCACACTGTATAGAACTCCTAGAAATCAATACATAAGGCAATGTTGTCATGGTTAGAAGTCACTATCTTCCCTTTGATATAGCTTGCAATGCTTCTGTGCTAATAAATAAACCCCACTCTCATGGCCCCTCTGCCCCCTCTGGCCATATCCTTTCTGGGCTTTCCTGCTCTGTTCTGTTTCCACTTTCACACCCTACATCTACCCCCAACAGAAATGGAGCCAATCACACTCCCAGGACCTCAGAAAGTCCAGGAGTGGGTCATTACCTGCAATGATGGCTGGATTGCTCTGTCCTCCCTCTGGTCTCACCCAGACTTCCACTGTGAATGCCTCCCGGGGAATCTCAGCCAGCACTTGTGGACGCATCAGCAGCCGCTCCCTCCTCCCAGAGAAGTACAGCACAGGCAATCCTCCTTGGGGATTAAAGGTCTCTGCTCCCCAGGCAGAGCCCCCTCCACCATTTTGGATGGTAACCTCCAATGGACTGTCACTATCCCCATGCTTAAGGAGGTCCTTAGGTAAAGACTGGAAACGAGAAGCCGTATCCTGGGGGTCTCCCGGCACATATTCTGCCTGCCTCTTCAGTACTCGGCGATGATGTCTGGGCCTGGTCTGGCCCTTCCTCAGGGGCTCTGCTGTGGGTTCCTTTGGGTATGTGAAGGTGGTGGCAGTGGAGGCAGCAGCTTCTGAGCTTCCCTGAGTCACAGGCTCACCTAGAGACTCCTTGAATCTTCTGTTGCCAAGATAAGTGTCATCATCTCTCAGCAGCTCTGATTGCCCAATAGGACCATCCCCTACCCACGGGGCAGCTGGTTGCTCAGCCTCCCTCCTTACTCCTGCTGGGTTTTCAGTCAGGTCTTGGGGAACAGATTTCAGAGCCTGTCCCTTGATGTCTGATTTATTCCATCCTGTGTATTGGGGTCCCTGCTTCCCCACAGCATAGGGCCTCAAGTAGTTGCCAGGTCTGCTAGGGTAGATACCAAAGAGGTGGTGCTGGGGAGCAGCTCTGGGTCTTCGAACCTTGGCTCCCAGCCAACAGTGTTCCCCTTCCAAGAGCATCTGATTCAGGTGTCCCCTCTGGGTCAAAGATCTCTTGCGTGTCCAGTCTAGCTCTGAGTTGACAGCACTGCATGCCCACCCAGCCAGGACCACCAGGCTTATCCTCAGGATCTTCCAACACATCATGTCTCTCAGCTGTCCCCACAGAACCAGAAGTCACCCAAGAGTGATGGGGCAAAGACCAATAGACAGCAATGGATTTGCAGTCACCAGGGAAACTGGTTCATAAGCTAAACTTTCTCAAGTAGCCCCAAAAGAATAGCTTTTCTAGCTACCTGTGCTGGAAACTCAGGCAGCCCAGGGTGGCTCCAGTCACCCCCACTGCCTGGGCTTCTCTCACCTTCTCCCTTGATTTCTCTTCTTGCTCTATTTCAGTCTTTGCAAAATGAAGTTAATTGCTCTTACTTTGAATTTCCTCCCAGAGACCATAGGTTTCTTTTTCTTCCTTCTTCAATTACTCCTCCCCTTGCTGACAGTTGAAGGGCATAACATAAACCAAATTCTCTCAGTCACACTCACAAGCACATATGCCACTCTATCTGATCATTCAAAACAGTCTTATTCTCTAATGCTCTCTTCTTTCTTCTCTAGAAGTTACCTTCTCTCTTCATAGCCCATCACCCTAACTATGTTCAACTTAAAACAAATGGCTAAAAAACTTTTAGACAGAGACACACAATTTGGTGCTTATTATCTAAAAAGGCAAAAATCATGTAAGGGCACAAAAATCCACACGGGTACTTAACTTTCAGTCTCCAGATGTCCTCAGCCAGGTGTCAGCTCGGCTTCCAGTCTGCCTGGGTAGGTTAGGTCTCTCTCAGTTTGGTGCTCAGGGTTGTTGACTAGTGAAGAGAATTTTTTATCTCCATCCAACTTGTTGGTATGTTGCAAGTCTCTGTAAAGTTCTTCTCTGGTTGCCAGTATGCTGGTCTCCTGACCAATTGAATCTGAGAGCCCTTGATTTCACCTTCAGGGAACCTGGTGGGTCCCTGGGAAGATGGAAAGAAAGAGCCAAATAAACAGCTTATACTTCAAGGGGCCTGTTCCTTCTGGTCTCTCCTGCTCCCCTCTCTCCCTTTCTCTCTGCCTGTAATTATCTTCTTGTTTTTTCATTTAAAGACAATGATGATGTCAAAGCTAATAAGTTTGGTGCATCACTCCACCTACTCCCTGTCCCCTCCTTCCTTCTTTACCCTCCCCACCTCTCCAAGGCACAGGGGACAAATGCTGTTCTTGGTTCCCTAGTAAACATCTCGGGCTTTCTCTTTCAGCAGCCGCAGCCTACACAATCAATAGAAAACAATCAATACTGTTTTGGAGCACTCCTTTCTGTGTGTAGCCTCTCTCTCTCTCTCTCTCTCTCTCTCTCTCTCTCTCACACACACACACACACACACACACACACACACACATACAGTTTGAATGGACCTGCCCAACAAATATATACCAGCCTTTTAGGGACCACTAGCACCTCTTCCTTTTGATCTGTCACAAGCCTCTTATCTTTTTTTTCTTGTTTCACTCTAACATTACACATTTAAAAGAACAACACCAAAACTCACTTCCTATTGGACACTGGAGGAAAGGAGAAATCAATTACTCTGTTGTGAGAAGCATTAAATGGAAATGCCATGCATTTGCAGCATATAGGTGTTCTCGTTCCCTCAGAAGTTTCTAAACCTGAAGTAAGTAAAAGCAACCATATGCTGAGTGAGCAAATAAACAAATGAAGTGCTCACAACAAGTATTTTGCACAAATGAGCAGCTAAACTCGAGCAGCTATTTTTAATTGATTTGAAATTAATGGATAAGATGGAGAAAGTTAACGCGGTGCTTTTTAACCTTTTGCACTATTTGCCAGCTTTCTCAAATGTTCCCCTATCTTTACATGCACATGCATGTATGCAAACATACACAGAAAGACACATGAGTACATGCAAAGAAGAGTTCTGAATTCCAGACACAGATATGTTTGACCATAGGTAGGATAAAATAGGTAGAGAAATGCATTGGGTCCTTCTTCTGAGTAATTATAAAAATCACTTACACTCTTTCAACCACTGCTTACTTATGTTGCTTGCCTTTAAATCACACAGCCCACAAGCTTTGGAGCGAGATAACAGTGCCTCCTTCACCCAGGGTCTCCTCATTGTCTTGGAAACTCCTCTACTCCAGCTGATAACTGACCTATTTGCCTTCAAAATGCTGTGTCCTTGGCATCCCATCCCAAGTGTGCCCCATTTCCCCATGTAGCATGGACTAGAGCGTCAAAGCAAGTCCCCAAAGATGCTATCAATTCAGGCACGTGGATATTACTAAGCAGATATCCCTCAGTCCTCAACTCTCCTTTTTCTTGTATCACTTCCCTAGGTCCCTTCACTTCTCTGACTCAGTTCCCCCACCCTGAAGCATAGCAAGAATAGAAATTGAGATGGGGGTGAGGGATAGAGAAAGCCAGAAAAGCAGAGGAAGGGAGGAGGAAAGAAGGGAGGGAGAAAGGGAAAGAGATGGGGGAGGGAGAAGAGGAAGAAAAGGTGGCTTAGCTTAAGAGAAGGGAAGATACTCAGGTAAGAAAAGAAGTCAACTTTCCCCTCCCCCATGCCACCCCAAGGACCCTCAGAAAAACAGCTCCTACCATTCACTTCAAGAGGATAACACATCAAGGAAGGATTCCGCCTGCTTTTCTCCCCCTTTGAGTGTGTGAATGATCTCGCATCCCCTATAGGTCTCTCCTGGCTCTCAGCTGCTAGTAATCCATTCATAAGATTTCAAGAGGCAACACAAAACTCAAGCTTCCAGTTTAGTTTCTCTCTCTCCCCTTCATTCCTTTGCTCACCACTCTCCTTCAGCTCTTGGCAGTCCAAAGTTTAAAAAAAAATGTTGAACCATTTCTGTGTTTTCCTCCTGTTGTAACTTTGGCTGTGACATCATAACCCTGCCCACCAACACCCCACCTCTCTCCCTTTCCATCCCCCTCATCAGCCCCATGCCCCCAAACACTCCCCCACCCACGAAGAAGAAGAAGGGCTCCTGTCAGTTCCAATGTGTGAAAACACAAAGCTCCTGGAAGGTGCCCCCTCCCTCCCCTCGGTGCCTCTCCTGCCTCCCCCTCCCTGCCTTACCCACCGCTCAGCCCGGCTCTCGAGGCTTTTAACAATGATCCCATCTGTTTGACATGTGCGGAAAGGTGGGCTGGATTCAAAGAATCTGTCAAGTGAATCAGATCAAAAACACAGCACCCCCCTCCTCAATTCCATCACACACACACACACACACACACACACACACACACACACACACACACACACACTCATACCCCAAGCCCGAGGAAAAGTGTAAGAGAAGTCAGACTTACACAGCACCCACCCTTGATGCCAGGGAGACAGACACCAAGCATGCCAAGGGAAGCCCAAATTTATACATGTATGAATTCTGTTGCTTATTTGTTTATGACAAACACCCACACCCCAAGTTCTCAACCCCTCTCCCTCAAACCCTGTCACTCCGCAAAGTGCACAGATTTGAAAGCTGGTAGAATCTGTTTTGAAATCTCCAACGAGAGGGTTTTTTCCCCCCTTTTTTCACTCCAAAGCACTATCTGTGGCGATCAGACTCGAGCAGGGTTGCCAGCAAATGCAGGAGGCCCCTTCTAGGGTACAGGCTTTCAAACCAGCGAAGCTAGAGGGAATGAATTTAAGGACACACAGCAGGAGCTGGCTGAATTCATTTTATTTTGACGGGGTAGTTGGGGGAGGAATATCATTTCTGAAATGCCCAAGGAATGAAGGGAGAGGATATGGATTTCTTAAACAGTTTTTGCAAGAGGAGCGGTGTCTTGTTCTGCAGGTAAATCTATAAGGCAAGAAATTGGAGCTTACAGAAAAACAAGGACCAGGACAGAGAGGGAGAGCGAGGGAAAAGGGAAGAGAGGGAAGAAAGAAGAGTTAGAAGAGCGGATGGGAAGGTAGGAAAGTGGGAAGGGGAGAAGGGGTGAGAGACAGAGAGGGGGCCAGGGGAAGGAAGGGAAGAGGGAGGAGAGAGGAAAGACAGGGGGAAGGGAAGGGAGCGAAGGAGAAGGGCGGTGGAAGGGGGCAGAAGTAAAATGAAGAGGAAGGGCTGCAGAGCTGGAAAAAGAGGAGTCTGGGAGGACAAAGGGCTGAGGAAGAGAAGTGGGAAAGACAAGAGAGAAGGATGAAGCAGGGGAAGGGAACTAAGGGAGAGGTGGCAAGCACATGAACTATGGAGACCAGGAAGGGAGTTAGCTCCATGCTGGGTAAACACATAGAGATCACAGAAGCAGGTGAAGGGAGACACTGAAATGGGACAGAGAAAACAAAGGACGAGCAGTGAGGAGACTGTCTCAGGGGCAGGACACATTTTTTAAAAACCAGGGAGTGCAAGGCTCCAACACTGTCTCCCTCAGGAAGCCCTATTCCTTTCTTCTGCCTCCCAGATCCCCTCCTTTGACACCCACCTCACCTTCCTGTTTTCACTTTTGTGGTCCTAGCATGTCTCCCCCATGGAGAAGTCAGGAGTAAAATTCTCCACTCACCCTCAAAAAAGAAAAAGAAAAAAAGAAAACCTTTAAAACCTTCTTTCTTTGTTCTGACCACTAAAGGTTCTGGGTCCTCTTATCTAGATTGGGCTGTGTGTGGCAATTTACACTTCATTTTGATACAAATTGTATGATGTTTCCTTCAGATTACAGGGTGTTTTGCTTTATTTACTGCCACTGTGGGGCTGGTCTGTTCCCATCAGCAGTGTCATCATTAATATTAGGAGGCTGAGCAGAGAAAGGAGCTGGTCTATGCTGGCATCCAGAGCATTAGCAGAGAGAGAGAGAGAGAGAGAGATAGTATAAATCAGAGAGAGAGGAGAGATGAGAGGGAGGGAGAGAGAGAGAGAGAGAGAGAGAGAGAGAGAGAGAGAGAGAGAGAGACCCTTAATATGGTCAGTGATCCTCTTTGACTTTCTAATTCCAAAATCTGAGGGAAAAGCTCAGCTGGGAGCCAGCCAAGGAGCGTAGTAATAAAAGCCTCTTAGAACACAACCAAATGCAGTATCTATATATAGGAGCTGGATCTGTGTTAGCTACTCGCAGTCTAAAATGACACCCGGAAACAAAC